CCATGTGTCTGCCACACTAAATGTGTTGATTCTGTGGAGCCCTGGACCATATTTTGTTTCTTTCACCTTTGCATGAAAGTAAAGTAAATATTGACAACATGAGAATGAAACGCATTAAAATCATTGACAAAAAATGGTACACTAAAAACACTTGTTGTGTGTGTGTTATGCATAGTGATACAGTAAAGGAAAGCAGAAGTGCTTGAACAAAAGGATATCCAATATCTGTGTGTTGTGTAATAATCATGGCAGACCATTGTCAACCAAACCAAAAACATTGAAGAAAGAAATTGCAATGACAGAAAAACAAACCTGAGATACTGCAATATTATAATTAGTTTTTGTGTCAGTGAAGTTGTATTGTAATGATATGATCACATGCAAAACAATTAAAAATTGCAGTTTTACAAGTTACTTAAATTGTTTTATATGAGTCAAGAGGTTTATCTAAAGCAATCAGTAATCAGTTACAATGAATGTAAATTAGATATATATATGATTAGATATTATACAGGATTTATATGCATCCACCATATCTTGAAATATTGTTATTAATATCATAATAAACTGAGTCCAACCATCCAAATCTATCAGCTTTATCGTCCACCAAGCATTGCCTAGTGAGTGAGTGGATGACCTCAATAGGCAATTTTTCCGACCACGGCCCCAGCTGAGGGCGCCGCGGTAAAAACAATGATTACATGAGAGGCACAAGCTGTGTAATATACATGCTCAATTACACATTCCAGTACATCCAAAACACAGGAATGAATCACATCACCCATTGTATTGCAGAAGAACCCCTCCAGCGTGTCTCTTAGATCCATTTCAGGGGTTGTGTGTGTGCCTACAGGCTGCAACCTGCTCCAGTGTTATGTGCAATGTGTACTGATGAAGCAGAAAGGGAGCAGCATGCTGTAAGCCACACTCATTTGCCTAAGCAGAATAAATCACTGCTGGCGGTGAAGTGCACGCCTGTCTGTACACACTGAGCAGACGAGGAGAGAGGGTGAGAAGAGAGGGAAAAGCAGAGGAAAGGAAAACAAAAGGAGAGGAGAAAGGGAGACAGGGGGTGCAGACAAGGAGGGGAGGAGGCAGAGAAAATGGAAAGAAAAAGCAAGCAGAGAGTGTAGATGAGCAGAGACGTGGGAAGGAGAGGAAATGAGAAGAGGGAGAAAGCAATGGGAAAGCTAGGGAGGGGGGTAACGGAAGGGAGAGGTGGAAAAAAAGATGGGGTCATTTCTACTCTTATCAACACACATTTAGATGAAGTGGGCACATCTTCTGCCGATCTGTTTTTACTAACGGACCTGTCATACTACCATGCTTCTAGACCCAGGGGACTCCCACAAAGCAACATAGTCAACAACACACAGCAGGGCCACATACACATCTCTGATTTTTAGCTCAGCTCAGGCCACATGCCATGAATAAAACAAATCTCAACACAGGTGGTGCCGGTTTTGATGCATTCACCATGTGTTCATCCTTGACTGGCATGTGTGAAGCGTTCCACCATTGGGGAATAATATAAACACCTAAAAGGAAAATGCTAAATTAATATTTTTCTTCACATAATCATATCTTTGACATCCTGTGATTTTAAGCTGGCACTCAAAAGTTTAATATTCACACATTACTCTCTTGAATACCATTAGATTTTATACATTGTGATGCCACTTTCCAGCCAAAACACAGTTAGCAACAGGCTAATACCACAGTGTATTTGTTATATACTTAACAGCTAGCAGTTTCATGTTCAAGTGGCAATACATAGGTCTGACAACATGTGTATTTCTTTGACAAAAACAACAAAACTATTAAAACGAGGGAGAATCATTAAATTTAGGCTAACTATCATTCCTTTCTCTCAACAGTAAATCTTTTGAAGCATATTTCAAAACTGCAAAGCATGCACAGAAAATTACAACAAGGCTTCTAATTAAATAAAATTCATATATTGAGATATATCACTGGTCAGTACAGTTTTGACACATACAGCAGGAGACACTACACAGCAACATTAATTGCTGTCTGGATTACTGCCCTACCTACCTGCTTTCTAAACTGAAATACACAAAGATTCACACATATGCATATATCTACACATGCACACACGCACACACGGACACAAATGATAATAATGTGAGAGAAAGATGTTCTGCAAGGTGTCTCCAGAGGGATAAGGATCAGCAGGAGAAATGTTAATGATCAATTAGATGTTAGAGTTGCTGGTGATTAAAAACATGGAGGACTTTAGAAGGGCCATGAGAGTAGTATGCTGGCATCATTGACTCACCTTTTTCTTTTCTCAGTTACTGTACAGGCGTACGCACACTAGAGATACACACATACATACACCCACACACTTGCTGCGAGAAGAGAGAAATGGCTGCAAATTAAAACTCTCCTGTGCCAAAAATGTAACAACAGAACAAGAAGGGGGAAACAGAGAGAGAGGAAGACAGAGAGAGATTTGTGGTGTTTGTCTAACTGGTTTGTGGTCCACTGTCCAAGTAATCATCCTTAGAATGGCTGCGGTGCTGCCACTGAAAAGGTCCTATAAGAAGAAGAATTGTATGATTATTGTTATAGTGCAGTTTATATTTTAGGTCTTCTTGACTTGAGAGACATACTGTATGTTGTGACATTGTCATGTGGTGCCTTAAAGTCGTGTTGCCGGTCATCAGTGACTCAACAATCTCCCCATATTTATTGAATTAGGCACCTAATCTGTGCTGAAATCTAATTCACTCAGTGATTCACTGAACTGATTTGAGACACACCCATACATTGTCAATAGAAATAGAGTATGCTGTAGAGAGTAGCCATGAACAGACAGAAATACACAGAGGCAGCAATGCTACATAAAGTTGTTGAAGTAACGGATGTTCTCCAGTGACCACTGGCAGATGGGCTGATGATCCCCAGCTCCTGCTCTGCTAAATTGGGAACATGAAGTCTGTTCTCTAAATGACCTCCTCATCAACAGGATGCACCCTGCAGTCACTCTTCTGTTCATAAAGACAAGAAGGAACTTTAAAAACATCAGTGCTAGCATCATTCACAGTCAGAGGCGGCTGAAACAAAACCCACAAAAACTGCCAAATTGCCCCAGAGACTCAGAGTGAACACAACATCAACTTGACAAGGATATCTCTGCATTTCTTCCTCCGTCCCCTCGCCCGCCTCTCTCCCTTCCCTCTGTCTATCGATTTCTTCTGAATGGATAAGCATATTTTGTCTCTTTATCAGTGCAAATAGTGCAGGCTGGATTCCCCTTCCTTCCTTTCTTTCCTAACCTTCAGGGAAGGCAGCCAGGCCGTGATCTTGTGCTCTGACAGCGGGTTTAGACTAGCGTCAATTTGAAACAGATATAATATCAGAGATAGTTGGATCAATAGTTGGCTATTCCTAGTTCTTCATCCTGGACCTGTGTGAGAGCAGAGGTCAATGCTTACCTGATCAATGACTGCAAATACAATCGATCCACATACTTGGCTTCTACAAATGCTGGCTCTGATGTGAAACTAAATTGCTGCTCAGTGTGTGTAAGGATTGGCTGTGAAAAGGCTGATGCTGAGTTCTCTTCATGTAGGATGGAAGGTAGCAATAGGAACGATTCCCATGGTAACAAGTTGCAAGCGTTTGTGGCATCATTCAACTCAAGATGGTGATTGCCAGTATTACTAATAACAAGTTTGTTTTGCACACTGACACTGAATAGTTATCTGGCATTGAGCCACAGTTGTATGATAGGCAAATTGTTCCTGATCAAAATAGCATTAAATTAGGGCTGAGTTACCTTGAAATGTTGGTGATATGAGGCATCCATGTTTGAAAGCTTTTCAGGCATTATTTACTGCCAAGATGTTGTTTTTTATATTCAAGCTTTCTGGAAAAATCTCAGACGTTCTCCTCCAACACAAAACAACATTACATTACATTGTTTAAGAAGGTCACTGCACAAACATGCACCATTACAAATATGCTGCCAGAAGCACATGATGTGCCTTTTAAAGTTGAATTTATGTTTATGGAGGTATTGACAGCCCGGTCGCGTCAGGTTTGGTGCGCATAACATTGCACATTTTTATTTGGACTCAGTGATCAAGACAGGAACTGTTGTGTGCATTTACTGACTCTGTTGGAGGCTATAAACATTTGATTATGTTTACATGCAACAATAATGGCACTGCTGCCAAAATTGTCTCAGGAAGCATTTTCTTGCTTCGTGACTCACATCTGTAAAATTTAACCAAAGCTGTTTTAGTTATGACTGAAACGCCACTTTAGACTGATAATTTGGAAAGAAAGCCAGAAAGCACACAGCTGTTGTCCCTTGTAATTTGATATTTTTAGATGAGGAGAGGAAGAGAGACGCAAACAGATTGGAGAGAGTCAGAAGTGTCCCTGGGAAGTTATAACTGACTGGTTTCACGTGCGTGTGGTGTATAGACATTTGTTTACGATAGTCTGTCGCAGCTTGGTGTTGGTTGCATATGATTTACTCAAGATATATATGCAT